TAGCAATGGCCGCGCTCAGTTTCAACCATTTGCCAATCAAAATTCCATGGTGAGCGGTGCTTCTGCTAGAGCTTATGGTCATGAGAATGAATACCAGATGCAGCAACAGCAAGCTTATCAACAAGAAAATTTTGCCATGGGGTTGAATGATACGAACGGCATGCATGGCATGAATTCCTTCAGTGGTGCTAACAATGCATATCAATCACCACCTTACAATGGCCAAATCAGAGGTCCTTCAAACCCTCACATGGGCACCGTTCACACTGGAAATTTGCAGCACCAACATCAAAATCAATTCAGTTTCAACGGGCATGGTGGTTCTCCATCCCAACCTAACTTCCAACAGCAGAACATGGGCATGCGACCACAATTACCACAAATTGCGACTCAATTTCCTACCAATCCTTACAGTCCTCAGTACAACCAGACCTATTCTGCTCCACCAATTGGAATGAACCCAGCACAGTTTTACAACAGTGGTGGTGGTAGCAATTATCATGGACCAAATTCTACACCAAGTTCAGCCTCGCGTATGTTATCCAACTTGAAATTTAGTAACCTCAGCCTTGGCGGCATGAGTCCAAATGGTGTCGGCCCGAACGGCATTCAGAACGTCGGTTACGGCCATGGCAGCGGCGTCGGTAATATCGGCAATACTGGTGGAATTGGCCACAATGGTTCAGAACAGAATCGTTCTAATGGGAGTTTCTCGGCTGTAGCCAACAATAACAATATGGCTGCCAATGCTCGTAACGCACAGTACACCTCGCTTGCATCTGTCGGTAACATTCATCACCCGCTTCCTCCAAAGCCACAATTTCAAGCACAAAACACCCATGTTTCCAAACCCAATACTGGCAACCAGCCTTACACAGCGACTAGCAACAATCCTCGATCTGTTGTCCATACTCCTCAACAGCAAAAGCGAAGCCTCCAAAGTGAGGAGAGTGAGCCCATTCAAGAGAGTAGCAACGGCATTCAATCACCTGTATCGTCCAACGGTCGCCCACTATCTGCTGCCATTCCTGCTTCCGAACCGAGACCTAACTTCACACCCTTGCTTCGATCTAATCGCGGCACATCCATCACCGCATCTGTAGATCGTGCTCAGCACATTAACGATTGGGTACAAAATACACCAACTCGTGGAAGTGCTTCGCGCCAAAGCTCTGTCACAAGTGAGAATTTTGCTGAAATTGACAACACTCCTACGATGCCGAACTACGACGATGGTAGAGAGCATTGCCCAATCAATGGTTCCCACGACGCCATCCCAGGTGGTTTTACCCCACGCGCTCTTAGCGTTAATCCGTTCAATCCTGTCACCACACTTGCTCCTTTCAGCCCAAATTCTCGTTACGGAGATGCTGGTGGTATGAGCCCCTTGCTTCGCGAGTTGACTAGAAATGGTACTGTTACGCCAACTGCCGAAGAAGCTCTTGACATGCGATTCATGCCCTTCGAGGAGTACTGCCGCCAAGCTAAGCTTGTGCAATATGGTGTCATGCGAATCAAAAACGTAAGTCATTGTCGCTGATGATAAAAATCGATTACTGATTCTTTCAAAGATTCCATATGGTGTGACAAGACAAGAGATTCTTGCATTTCTCGGTCGCAACGCAAAGATTGCCGCCTCGAATGACCACGAGCCCATCCACATTATAATGGAGCGCGTCACGAGCAAGACACTTGACGCCTATGTTGAGTTTGTCAGCTTCACTGAGGCTTCAAATGCAATCACGCGTTTCGATATGAATCGCATGGGCGGCAGAGGTGGTCGTCTTGGGCAGCGCCACGTTGAAGTCGAGCTGTCTTCCCAGGAAGAGTTGATGAAGCAGCTCTTTCCGAAAGCCAAGAACGTTGAGTGGCACGGAAACAAACCCACGATTATTGAGCGTGATGAGAATGACAAGTATAACTCTGGTTTCCAGGGGTTCGTCAGCCGTGAAGAGTTGGTTATGCTGGTTAAGCATGTTGAGTCCCCACAACGTGTAAGTAACCATAATTCTGCCTGAGTGATTCGGAATTATACTGATATCAAACAGTCCCCATTCTCTAAAGATTGTCCTCAACGACCATTTGAATGTCTTGTCAGCACCTTGATCAAGTTTCCTTGGGCAATGGTCAATCACGTTACTTGCCAAGATCGTGAGCTATTGTACAAAGCCACGATGCAATTGCTTGGGTTACTTGTTGAACGTGTCGACAACAATGATGATCCAGTCAATCTCAACGCACAATTGTTGAAGCGAGTTTGGCGTACTGCCCTTAAATGCGAAGGTTTCAGTCCCTGTATGAAAGACAACATTGTCTATAAGATGAAAATTGATCCTACAACCGCGTTTGAGTGTGGCGTTCCACCACAAGCTGATCTCTGGAGCAATATCTGGACCATTGGACCAAGAAAGGATGTTGCGTATGATCTCGTTCAGGTAAGTCTCTCGAGAAATCTTGATTAATTGAGAGCACACGCTAAGCAATCATAGTACTATGTCAAGCTTATTCATGATGCAACTACTGAGAAGAAGCAACTCACCTTGGCCGAGAAGGCTGCAGCCAGAGCTGAAGAGGTTCCTCGCCTCCCAAGTCTCTTTGGAAATCTTGATACGCTTGTTGATTACACGAATTGCCTTGATTTGACTCTTGCTGAACTTGCTGTGAAGGAGTGGGCTGCATTTGAAACAGCAATTCGAAGAGCACTTACTCCAGCTTTGGAGGCCAGGCCATCTAGCTGATAGAATCGTACCTACCAAGCAGTGATACGTCTTAATCTCTAATTTCAGATACCACTTCGCATTTCTTTCAATTCTCGGACGTAATTTGTCGAACTTTTTAGGCATTTCACAACATTCTCGTCAGGTAAGCTTGATATCTGGATAGTTTCGTTCTTCGAATCTTCCCGGAAATCATAACAGCTTGACTTGAATTTTTCTGAAATACTCGATTGTCCTCGATTGTTCATAATTTCTACTTTCCTCATATTACATCTATCTACCACCAATTTGATGAATCGTGAAGCCATTCCCGAGATCATCGAAATATCGTCATATCATTGAAGGAACAGCATTGTTGATATCCTTCTATTCGCATCCTGAAGGGTCTTACTATCGAGAGAACTCCAGCATGTTTGGTCTCACCTGGAACGTCAAATTTTGCATGACCTGTTCTTGCATACTTTTCTCATGACGACAGCTATCGATGCTTTAGTGATTTGCGTAATCATTAAAAAGGATTTGAGTTTTTGAAGTCATTTGATTGGGATACTCGATTTGAGATTATGATGATTTGGGTCAAGTTTCTTCTTTGGCTGCCTCGCTTCTTGAGGTCATTTTAATGACATCTTGATATTTGCAGCTCTGTAGTTGTCCATTCAGATAGTACAAATTCAATACCATAAGTTTTCAATAATGTGTAATTACCAATAACGAAATTTCACATCTCTATGCGAGGAAGATGTAGGTGAAGAGCTTTTTTGATGATATTAGATCCAGATAGAAAATAAGTTTAGACATCTGATGGCTGGAAAACATTGGATGAGTATCATCATCTGCATAAGATGAGAGAAAGGAAAGGAAAAGGAATATGTGAAAGTTGATTGAGATGTCTCGGGATATCTTCGGCCACTAACCACCCAAGCCCTTCGCTTCACCACCCAATAATTTCATGATCCATACATTCCCCCACCAATTCTTCACCCCTCCATCACATGAGAGACACAAGAGAGTTAAAATGTCTCTACCTCAATCTTTTATCAGCAAGAAGAAGCTAATATTAAGCAAGCTTGCTGTTCCTACAGATGAATATGACGACCTATCTCCCAAAGGGTCCGTGGATGAAGGCATCCGAGAATTAATAGATGAAATAAATTCTCTTGAAGGTTGTGTCACGACTAGTAGTTGTGCTGGGCGAGTGAGCGTATTTTTGGAAGGGAAGAAGAATTCTGACGATGGAGTTAAACCTCAAATTCAAGACGAGACTGATATGGATGGTATTCCGGATGTGAGAGCCGAGAAGACTGCCGGATTTGGTGGAAAGGGAGGTGGTGGGAAATGGTTATATGTTTCTCACGACGCAATTGAAGACGAGGCACTGAGCCGGCGAGAGAATGAAGGAACTCTTTGTGAACTGCTGGGAATGCGGGTGGATGATGGCGGTTCTGTAATCTCTCTCCCGAAGAGCGACGAAAGAGGTTTACGGCATATTCATTTTAAATTTGAGCCCATGGTATGTTGATTAGACTACTCTGTTCTTGGGTTCTAAATGCTAACGTTTAAGTAGATCCTACATGTCCTTACCGCATCTTTGGAGCAAGCGCAAAAAGTGTTATCAGCTGCATTACAAGCGGGTTTCCGAGAAAGCGGCGCATTGAACCTGATATCTACCACATCCGAGCCAGCAACTCCGATGTTAGGAATAAGATGCATGGGTCTGACGCTTGAATCATTAGTTGGTGTATATCACGAGACTTTTGATCAAGGAGTTTGCCTTGTCGATAACGGGCAGTTAAGTACGCTGATGAGAATTTCTAATGAAAGATTCAAAGAGAACACGAAAAGGATCGAGAGGTTTAGAGTATTATTGAACGAGGCAATGAATCCCGTGGAGAAGAGAAAGGTAGGAGAAAATGGGGAGGACTGGGAGGATCCTCAGGCTAGAAAGGAACGGAAGCGTGCGGAAGGGTTGAGGAGAGCCCAGGAAATGAAGGAAGCAAAGGCAAGGAGTGGGATATCTGAGAACCAGGACTCTGCAGAGCTTCTAGTAGACTCAGCACCTGTAGATTATAACGAGACTTGAATCTGATGCATTGATACTTCACATGATCTATGATAGTATACCCAAACTTCCACGCCATGCATTATTTCTGTTACACATATTCTATACACGGTGGGCCCTTGAAAACCTTCGTTGGTTTCTTTTTATCGTTACGCCCTCGCCCCTTCATTCGAAATTTGTTATACGGCATCCTTCCCATCTCCCCTTGAATAGTCATACTTTCCTTATCTAACAATACCCTCGACCCATTTACCCTCCAACCTCCTAACCTCTTGTCTGAAAGCCTCTACCTCTTTGTAACAATCCAAGGGCCTCCTGTCGTTATCCCTCAAACACTTTACCACTGCACTCTTTGCATTCTCAACCCCTTCATCTAATTCCTGTAACTTCTTCCTCTGTTCCAACTTCTTCCTCAAGCCCTCCACATCTTTCTGAACCGCATCTCTGCCTAGTTTCCTTAAGCTATCACCTGCAGATTTCTCCTCAGATGGGGGTGAAGATTCCTCGGTGGAGAGTTTGGCGGTTAATTCTTCGAAATCTTTGCTGGCGCGCTCTTGGAGTTTCTTGAGTTCGCTGGCGACGCGGGCTTGGATGTGGAGTTCGAGAGTTTTGGCACGAGTAGAATCGGACTTTTGAAGTAGGTTAAATTGGTGTTCTCAAACCTCTAGATCTGGGAGAGAGTCTTACCTCAGAACTCGATTGCAAAGAATCTATGAGTTGTTCCGAGAACCTTACAGGTGTTTCACTGCCGGATACTATTAGAGCTTGCTTGAAGGAAAGATGTATACATTATTGGGAAGAATTACCTAGACCATACTTGTGCCTTGGGAGGTTCCTCAGGTTTCGAAGCTCCAGATCCCATCTTGACTGGTGTAGGAGGAATCAATTGCTTGAAAGATATAATTTACAATTGTGACCTCACGAGCTTGGAATTTCTTAAGGCTCGCTGAAAATCGGAATGTTTTGAGCCTTATGGCCTCATATCGGAGCTTTGTTTATCCATGACCCCAAGCCACATTTAAGGCGTCAGTGGCTGAAGTGAAGCTAGCCTCCAGGGCTATTTTGGATTTCAACTTAAAAAATAAAAATGGACTCTGGATGTTCACACGAGGATGATCAATTCCAATAAACTCAACGATCAACCGAATTAAGCTTCACCTACATGTGCATCATCGTTTTTTTGATGAAAGGAACAGAAAAAGGTTAAAATCTAGGTCTATCTATTTGATATGATGATCCGACAAAGCATACTGTACTGATTTTGTACCAAAATCATGAGATTTTCAATCCTAGACTTCTCGTGCCCAGGACGCCTATTCATCTCTTCCAATAAATCAGTACCCAGATTTTGTAAGATTTCATGGGTTATCGTCTCTTTTATTTCCACTTTGCTCCTTTGGGCGGTTTCGAAACTAACGGACGTTTCTGTTTGATAGGCTTGGCGCATCCTCGTGCCTACCTTGAGATAACTTTGAGATACTCGGATGCTCGGGTTTCGGTCAGCGGCTGCGGAATTGGTAAGTGGTGATTTGATAGCACATTGCATGTTGAATGATTCAAGGGGGTTCTTTTACAGATCTTACTGTCGTAACGTCGTTTGCTCGAGGGTTCGATCAAGCATCTTCTTGGGGGTACCCATCGAAAAAGTTAAGGATCTTACTGCGATACTACTTTAACCTTACATGCACCAACCTTCAACTGAAACGGAAGACCTAATAGAATAGATGTAGTCAAGGATTCTTGCCGTACTCCGTCGCCAGCAAGGAGTGATTCAATGCAGACTCGGTCACTTCACTGTTCTCGGAAGGCTTAATCTGATATGATCTTTTTGCCTACGATGATATGATGGTGCATGAACTAGTTTCCAGTTAATGACAGCCATGACGACCTGGATGCTATATGCAGAACAACATTTGATGAACACCCGAGCGAGTGTCAACTAACAAAGCATATGGCGTATTCAAAACACCCTCGACTGCGAACCGAATTACGAATTTCATAGAAGCTTCGCACACTTTACCCAACGGCTGCTAATAACTTTCCACGGACGAAAGTACTCACAGACATGAAAACTTGTTGGTCCTATCCCATCCTATGGAAGGAGGGAGTTCAAGCATGCATCAATGATAACCAGCGGCTATCCTATCCGCGGCATACATCTACTTCAAGCTTTGACGTCTCTCAATCTATTCCCCTGGAGGTGTTTCGTCTTGGCCCTTCATTTTATCTTTCATCCTCTTCTCTGACAACGGCAATATCTCCGTGGGCCCTCTCACGAGTTACTACTTCGTAGGGGTTCGCAACTTCGCAAAGATCTATCGTGAATCGTGATATATAAATGATGTAAATCTGACCATCTCATCTCTATGTATCGTTTCTCCTTCTTTACCCCTGACAGAAACCCCTGAGTGGATCACGAACAACGGTGCGTCTTGGTTTCAAAACATCGGAACCAATTGGAATCAGTCGTGACTGGCTGTGCTGTCGGTTATGTTACCATTCTTTGCCTTAGTCACTCCCTATCCTCGAGCCATCCCTTTCTATTATCCAATGATTCTTGGTCTTTATCATCAGCCACGATTAATTGGAGATCAAAGCACCCAAACGTTCTTCTTTTTTCTCTCTTTCTCTTTTTCTTTCCCTTCCAAGGTTGTCCATGTCCAACCTTGCACCTGCACTTACTTTTGGTCAGTTCCAACGTGCATATCCGAACAACTTTATCAGTCTCCACTCAAAACCACGAGAGAGGTAATGCTTATATTCATTAAATGACAGGCCCAGATTCGGTCCCATTCCGAACTGCCCAAGACTAATCTCAACGCCATTATGGATTCGACTGGCATGATACGCTGCGGCTATCTCATTTTATATCCCAAATGCTGTGTGATGGCTGAAAGTGGTGACGGCTGATGGATGACGGTCCAGGGGTTGGTTGTGAATGGACCACCACTCTTTTTCCATTCCTTTGGCAGTTTTTGGCTTGTCAGGACTCAGGCACGAGATTAATCAGTAGCATTTTTATACAGAGCAATAGAGGAAGATCGATACATGAGTAGGAGAAGGCAGATCTTGGTATTAGTATCAGTATTGATATTGGTATTGATACTTGCATATTCGTATAGCCGTATCCGCATCCACATCCACATCCACCGTCTATTTTCCTTTTTCATTCTAGGTCTCTCTTGAGTCTCTTCTCATCCCTTCCTCTCTCATACCCAGAACAGACTCTTGTGTATTAATGAATTTTCTACTGATTGGTGACATGCTCCATTTCTGTATCTGTACAGGTCGGATTTGATGATATTTACATGAAATCTATCTTCTCTTCCCTCGTAATCCATTCCTTGCTTTGCTTACCTAGGTATCTATCTACTCATACTCAGACGTTGACCACTCACCACTCACCACTCACCACTCACCACTCACTCCTCACTCCATCTTTGTTTCATCACCACCATCACCACTTCGTTGACAAAGTGGGTGAAATTCCATCTCTTTCCTCATCTCCTCATATAATACGACGACAGCAGGGCTTTTCGTTTCGCAATTCGAAGCTATTCACACACATGTCCTGATGAACCCTGCAGCGATTCTTACTCGGTTTTATTTACGAGGAGGCTTCGTTTCCTATTTGGATGGAATTTTATATTGATTGCAATTTATCTGATTCATTCTTCATAACTTTCGCGCTCAATGGAAAGAAAAGATCCACTTTCCATCTACTTTTCCATCCACCCTTCCACCATCAAAATTTAAACCATCGGTACCAACATCTCAAATTGGTCTTTTGTCTAGACTGAATCTGGTCGATCCACCAAATCCACCAAAACCTTCGAAAAAGGGATCCCCGCAGCGCATACCAAGACACAAGCCAAAAATATACCTAGCACGTACACAATAGACATAACAGTAGTAGTAGTACATCAACTCTTTGTCGCCGCAATCTTTTGGTTTGTCTTGATCGTCTTGGTCTTATTACTTTCTCGAGATCTTCGTTCGTATCTTGAACAAAGTCCTCTTTTTTATTTTATTCACTCTTTCACTCTCGAGTTTATTTCGAGATATTGCTTTTATAAGTCCTGGAGACTAATTCTTTGATTTACCAATCATTCTCCATTCACATTCATTGTTACAATCAATCGAACAAATTCCGCCATTCATTCATTCATTCATTCATTCATTCATTCGTTCATTTCTATTTTGGATCTTGAATCACTCTTTTTATATTCAGGAACAAAGCAACATTTCGACCCTCACAGCATGTCCCTTATTGAAAATTACATTACTTTGTTCCCAGATCAAGAACAATAGATAAATATTAGCGACACAACAGCAGAAGAACAATCGGACAATAAATCTCGATTTTTATCGTAAGTAAAGACCTCTCGCACCTCGATGGGACCTTCAAAATCTCAAATCTCGAATCCCATAGACCCAACGACCATATACCAACCCGATTTACTTACCAACCAACAGCTTCCACAGAGACTTACATAGAAGGTCTTCTACATTGTTTCAAACCCAACAATAAAGACATCTTTTACATCCGTTTCAAATACAGCAAAAAAAAAAAAGTATATCGACATGGAGTCCCTCGATCTTCTGCGCAGGGCTGCAGCTGAAGCGACCACCGCAACCACCACAAGTTTACAACATGCAACCGCAACAGAAGCAGCTGCAACACCAAGTAACACTATAGGAATGTACGCAACCGATTTGAATGGAGTAAATCAATCTGTCAACAACCTTCTACGAGATGTTTTATGGTGGTGCTTAGGAATCATGGCTTTGATCATCCTTGTCTTTAGAATGATGCATCGAGCAAAGTCACATTTGCGACACATGACAGGGATGAATAGTAACGCGAATCAACAACGATATTTTCAGGAAAATAGATCGAGTTGGTGGAAGGTCAAGAAGCATTTATTGTATGCGCCGCTATGGAATAAACGTCACAACAGAGAATTCAAGTTGTCGTCAGCTGTCAATATGGGAACCCTCCCATCAAGATGGCACGCACTACTGTTGATCGTTTACCTTTCAATGAACGTTGCCTATACCCTTGTTCTTGACTACAGCAGGGAAAACAAATATTCAATCGTAGCTGAGCTCCGAGGAAGATCTGGTGTTCTCGCTGTGTGTAACATGATCGCGCTCATCATTCTTGCCGGACGCAACAACCCTCTCATCGGATGGCTTCAAATCAGTTTTGATACCTACAACTTATTGCATCGATGGATGGGAAGGATAGTCGTTCTGGAGGCTCTTGTACACACGTCATGTTGGGCATATGTACAACACGCAGACACCGGTTTCTCTGGTGTTTGGGATAAGCTTATGCACGATCCATTCTGTTCTTACGGAATGATGGGCACTGCTTCCTTTGTCCTCATTCTCCTCACATCCCCATCCCCAATTCGTCATGCCTTTTACGAAACCTTCCTCAATCTTCACATTATCTTCGCTGCCGTAGCCATCGCCGGTGTTTGGATTCATTGCGACATCCCAAGTCTTCCACAGAAACCTTACATCCGCGCCGTCGCCTTCCTCTGGATTGCTGATCGCGTATTCAGAATGGCTCGTCTTATCTGGTGCAACTACAGTACCAAAGGTTGGACCACCGCCTCCATCGAAGCCATGCCTGGAGATGCTTGCCGTGTCACCATGCATCTGCCCAAGAAGCTCGATGTCAAACCTGGATCTCACGCCTATCTTCGTTTCGCCAAACTCAACTTCTGGGAGTCGCATCCCTTCTCCATCGCTTGGGTAGCCCATCGCCCGAAGTTCTCCCCTGAACTCCCACTCAACGAAAAGAGAATGGTTTCTGAAGAACAAACAACCGATATCAGCTTTGTCATCCATGCGCAAACTGGGTTGACCCGTCGTCTCTTCGACGCAGCTAAAGTCGCCAGTCCACGTGTTCTGACACTCAAGGCTGCATTCGAAGGACCCTATGCTGGACACCACTCTCTCGATTCTTACGGTCACGCAGTCCTCTTCGCCGGATCCTCCGGAATCACGCATCAGATTCCCTACGTTCAACACCTTATCCAAGGCTACAACGATGGTACCATCGCCACCAAAAAGGTCCTACTCGTCTGGATCATCCGTGACGTCGAACATCTTGAATGGGTGCGACCTTGGATGGACGAAATCTTGCGCATGCAAGGACGTCGCGACATTCTCACCATCAAGTTGTTCGTCACGAAACCTAAGAATCCAAAGGAGATCCATTCCCCAAGTGCCACAGTCCAAATGTTGCCTGGTAGACCTAATATCAACCTGTTGTTGCAGACTGAAGTTAGGGAACAAGTGGGCGCCATGTGCGTTACCGTTTGTGGACCAGGAGCGTTGCAAGACAGCATCAGAGAAGCAGTGAGAGAAGTCCAAGAACATGGGGTGGTAGATTTTATCGAGGAGAGTTTCACTTGGTAATGCGGAGAATAATTCCTAGGGATACATTCCCACATACGTTTTAAAGATACCAAGAAGAGCAATCCAAGAAAGGATTACATAACCCAAGAGATGGCAAGTCGAGTGGTGCAGAATGAGTGGATGGTCAAAAATATTTTCTTCTTCGATTCTCGGACACAATTAATACTTTTTATGGGAGAGCTTTGTATTATACTACCAGACCAGACCACGCCTGCACTTTGTATATAGATCATATTATGATTGCATGAGAGAAAGAAGAGAGATGGTAGACGGAAGACGGAAGACTGGATTCGCTTTTAGCGGGGAGTTTGTTACATTGGGATATCCAGAATTGGCATTAAGGGATTGGACTACTCGTTCATAGAATAAGAAAGGTAGTCGGCCAGAGGTAGTTGTCTTTTTGATATAATTGAATTATTTAAAATATTCATGATATTGAGATTTGCGTTTTGTCATTTAGTGATTGGTGATTCTGATTGTGATGTTGTGTTATATGATATTGTGATAGCAGATATCTATCTAGTAAATATTTACATCTAGGGTGATACTTGCTGCATGCTAGCTATGTTTATGGGATTGATTGGCGCTATGCATCCACGCCCTGCAAAAATGAAGTCATGTCATACATGCATACCAGTAGAGCAAATTCAAATACTGGGAATACTAGTCGGTTAATAAATGAAGCTCCGCTAGTCTACCGGGTGCCATTGCCATGGAGGCTAACTATTTCGGAAATTTATAGATATATCTTCAAAGCTGTGAGTATCTCTATTTCCATTGATATATAGATATTTGTATGGGTAGTTGCTCATTAGTAGGTAGTTGAGTAAAGTTGTCGTCGTTAATAGATCTATTATAATAATTGTATTAAGAACCGAGACTTTCCCTGTAACACTGGGTCTGAAAGTAACAGAAAGGTAACAAAGAACAACGGCTAAATCTAGGTATAATGATGGGCGGAGAATTGATTGGTTGAATCGCAGAATTTCCCCTCGCCCCGCGATCGGCTTAACAAAATTTATTCGAAATAGCGTCACTTGCAATTGGTTTGAGTGAGTCTCCGATTATTCTATGATTGGTGACTCAATTATTTACTTTGACAATTCTTATAAATTCCCATTTATCTCTTCTGCTTTATTCTCTTAACCAAATCATCTCAATAACATTGCTTTTCTGATCGCCCTTTCAGATCTGCAAGATTAAACCAATTTTCAATTCCAAAGCGGAAAGTTCTTGAAAGTAAAAGTTAATCCATCAAATATAACCCCGCGATTTTGTCAAGATGCCCATGTAAGTCATCGCTTTACACAAGTCGCAGTGAACTCTTCAATGTCCCGAATATAATTCTAATTTCTGGATTCTTCGTAGGCTTAAAGATCCCTCAACGAAATACAAGAGATTTCCTCCCATTCAATTGGCGGATAGACAATGGCCTTCCAAAACCATCGATAAACCTCCAAGATGGCTCAGCACAGATTTACGAGATGGCAACCAAAGTTTAGTCGACCCTATGGATGGTGAACAAAAATGGAAATACTTTAAGATGTTGGTAGAGCTTGGTTACAAGGAAATTGAAGTCTCATTCCCATCTGCTTCGCAAACAGATTTCGATTTCACCAGACGCCTTGTTGAAACTCCCGGTGTCGTACCTGATGATGTCTGGCTCCAAGTTCTCTCACCGTGTCGTGAAGAATTCATGAAGCGAACCGTTGACTCCCTTAAGGGCGCCAAGAAGGCTATTTTACACATTTACCTTGCTACCAGCGAATGCTTCCAGAGAATTGTATTTGGCTTAAACGAGGAAGAAGGTTTGGCATTGGCAGTCAAGTGTGCGAAATATGCTCGATCCATTACAAAGGACGATCCCGAACACGCCGGTACTGAGTGGGCTTTTGAATTCAGTCCTGAAACTTTTTCGGATACTAATCCAGACTATGCGATCCGGGTGTGTGAGGCAGTCAAGGAGGCATGGGGTCCGACAGTAGAGAATCCAATCATCTTCAATCTCCCCGCAACAGTCGAAATGTCAACACCAAATGTCTACGCGGATCAGATAGAATACTTCTGCAAAAATATTACAGAGAGAGAAAAGATTTGCGTCAGCTTACATCCACATAATGACCGAGGATGTGCTGTTGCAGCTGCAGAGTTGGCACAAATGGCTGGTGCTGACAGAGTTGAGGGATGTTTATTCGGAAACGGAGAGAGAACAGGAAATGTAGATTTGGTCACTTTGGCTTTGAACCTCTACACTCAAGGCATCAACCCTGGCATTGATTTCTCGGATCTTGAGCGGGTCATTGATGTCGTGGAAATCAGCAATAAGATTCCAGTTCACCCAAGAGCTCCTTATGGTGGTTCCTTGGTTGTGTGTGCGTTCAGTGGCTCTCACCAAGACGCAATCAAGAAGGGGTTCCAACTCCGAAAGAAGGGAAATCACGGAGATGAGAACCGCTGGGAAGTACCATATCTTCCACTCGATCCTCAGGATATTGGACGTACTTACGAGGCTGTTATCCGTGTCAATTCACAGAGTGGTAAGGGTGGAGCTGCTTGGATTATCTTAAGAAATCTTGAGCTTGATCTCCCAAGAGGATTACAAGTTGCTTTCAGCAAAGTCGTTCAAAAGCGTGCGGATGAACTTAGCCGCGAGCTTCTCTCACGGGAAATTCAAGACTTGTTCGAGCAAACCTACTACCTCAAGCACAATCCAAGATTCAGCCTTGTCGATTACTCTATCAGTACCGACAGAAGTGCTTCGCCCGTGCCACCCGCTCCAGGTAAGACACAAGATACGACGAATTTGAAGCGTCGATTCGAAGGTGTCATTTCAATTGAAGGAGAGGAACGCGAATTGAAAGGAATAGGAAATGGGCCCATCTCTAGTTTGGCAAATGCTTTGAAGAGCTTAGGTATTGATCTCGAGGTAGCAGATTACAAAGAGCATGCTGTTGGTGCTGGTACAAATGTCAAGGCTGCGTCTTATATCGAATGTACAGCTGCAGGCTCTAAGCAGAAAGTATGGGGTGTTGGAGTTCACGAGGATGTTGTTCAATCGTCTTTGATTGCTCTCTTGAGTGCAGCTTCAAACGTAAGTCATCTCGCATCATTACTTGATTCATAAATATCTAACACAATTACAGTTCATGGCAAGCAGACCTACAACACCATTACTCCTCAAGGGTAAGAATGGTGTGAGCACCAGCCGTGACGTTAATTCTGATGACTCACAAAAAGAGAACGGCGGCCTTGCAATTCCTAAACCTACCACTGCAGCAAAGAGTGGACCGGATGCAGTGAGTGTCTTGGAGGCTAAGGTCAATGAAGCATAAATTGTTTATTAGTTATTTTTTCGTTGTTCTTGGGCTCTCTTAAAGCTGCTTTCGTAGTAAAAATGAGGGGTAGCTTTTAGCGCGCCTTCTTTTGGGATGGGGTTCATGGAGGGGATATATCACCTGGAAAAGCGATCAAAAAGTGCATTTGAAACTTGAGAGAATAGGAAATTTGTAAACAAAATGATGATTATCAAAAAAGATACCCATCTCAATAAAACAGAGTTCTTCCTATGATCTGCCTCTTTATTTACAAGTAAGTAGATATATGTAGTGATCTTGATGCTCAAAGAATAAATAAATAGAGCAAGTCACCGGTTGCTTGGTGTATCAATTTCATTATTTATATCTACCACTCACTGTATTTATATTGAATTGATGATTTCTTATCCACGTACGGAGATTTCCATGTGAGATTGACCAAATCACGTGAATTGCTGATTAAAGATCTAAACGAACCAATTATACAACTCATGGCGGGGACACCGCTCCATTAATGATCAAGTATGAAATTTGACTTTGTTGACTTTGGACATCAATTTCTAAACAATCCAGAGACCATTTAAAAAATTCTCTCTATTGACAAGAACTATTGATTCTTTACATTCATTTACTCAATAATACAAACAAGACCAAAGAGAGGCTATTAAGCTCCTTCAAATTTTATAATCTTTCTTCTTTAGACAGTTCCAGTGACTACAGTTCTGGAGTCTAGGTATCTAGCAAAGAATCGGCCTTGTCAATATTACACCCAAGTCAACGTCGCTTTCTTCAACAACCGCAAATTCCACCTGCGATCAACAACCCCCCCCAGTTGAATTCCTTCAACCACCTTGTCGCACATCAAATAACCAGGCATATTGTAGAGAGATAGAAATACCTCCTCTGCAATAATACGAACATCTACAAATACCCTTTAAAACTCGGGAATATCGCAAAGATGGACGTTGGTTCTGTCTTGCTCAATTCCTTGGCGGCAGGTCAGTACTTCCCCTCTATTCACCAAATTTGTCTCAAAGGTGAACAGACCTTGAACTTCTATGGTATTAACTATCAATAGACAATGCTACTCGTATTGCTGCTGAACAACAGCTTACCCAAGCTGCCGAAGCCAACTTTGTGAGTTCCCCCACACAGCCTTGACCGCACTGTCGATGAGCTTCTATGACATTCTTTTTACTGACTTTTTCTTCCGTCAATGTAGTCAGGATATCTTGTCACACTCGTAGAGCAGTTGGCAAATGAAGAATCACAGGGATCCATTCGAGCTGCTGCTGGTATCGCCCTCAAGAACGCCTTCACAGCCCGCGAATATGCTCTGCAACGAGAATTACAAGATAAATGGCTACAGGTCGACCCAGATACTAGGAAGCGTGTGAAGGACCTGACCCTTCAAGCATTATCCTCAAACAACAACCAAGCCGGTCAAACAGCTGCGCAAGTTATATCCTCGATAGCAACCATCGAACTGCCTAGAGATCAATGGCCAGAGCTTATGCCCGCCTTGGTGCGAAATGTGGGAGAGGGTACCGATCATCTTAAGCAGGCTTCCTTGACTACTCTCGGATTCATTTGCGAGACTCAAGATGCGGAATTGAGACAGAGTCTCGTACAACATTCCAATGCTATCTTAACAGCAGTCGTCCAAGGTGCCCGAAAGGAAGAAGCAAATTTGGAAGTACGACTAGCAGCTATTGATGCTCTTGGCAATTCATTGGAGTTTGTGGATAGCAACTTCAAGAATGAAGGCGAGCGAAATTACATTATGCAGGTTATCTGCGAGGCCACACAAGCAACCGACTCTAGGATACAACAGGGAGCTTTTGGATGTCTGAACAGAATTATGTCATTGTATTATGACTTGATGCGCTTCTACATGGAGAAGGCTCTCTTCGGTCTCACAATCATGGGAATGAAAAGCGAAGAGGAAGATGTGGCCAAGCTCGCCGTTGAATTCTGGAGCACAGTTTGCGAAGAGGAAATCGCTATTGAAGATGACAATGCTCAGGTAAGATTTTGACACAAAAATTTAGTAAAGAGTGCTACTGACAAAACGAATAGGTTGAAGAGGTCTCTTTGATGCGTCCGTTCTACAATTTCAGCAAGGTTGCAACTAATGAGGTTGTACCTGTTCTCTTGATGCTTTTGACCAAGCAAGACGAGGATGCTGCTGATGATGAATACAACATCTCCCGTGCCGCATACCAGTGTTTACAACTTTATGCACAAGCTGTTGGTGGTTTGATCATTCAACCAGTTTTGAGCTTCGTTGAACAAAAGCTTCGTGGAGAGGATTGGCATGATCGTGATGCTGCTGTCTCCGCCTTCGGTGCCATCATGGAAGGTCCGGATGAAAAGACACTCGAGCCAATTGTCAAGCAAGCACTTCCAGTCATCATCAGCATGATGGAGGATAAATCTATTCACGTCAAGGACTCGGCAGCTTATGCTCTTGGCCGTATCACTGAAGCTTGCTCAGAGGCTATCGATCCAACCAACCATTTACCAAAGCTAATTGCATCCTTGTTCGAAGGTCTTATCAGCAGTCCTAAAATGGCAGGTTCATGCTGTTGGGCATTGATGAACCTTGCTGAACGCTTCTCCGGAGATATTGGATGCCAGGAGAACCCTATCTCTCCTCACTTCAATGAGAGTATCTCCAGACTTCTTCAAGTTACTGAGAGAACCGACGCCGACAACGCTCTGAGAACCGCTGCATATGAAGTTCTTAACACCTTCGTTATGAATGCTGCAAACGATAGTCTTCCATCCGTTGGTCAACTCTCCGAGGTCATCATCAAGAGATTGGAAAACACTCTTCCTCTTCAATCTCAAGTAGTCAGTGTTGAAGACAGAATCACTCTCGAGGAGATGCAAGTCAGCTTGTGCACTGTCTTGTTGGCTATCATTCAACGTCTCGAGAAGGAGGTCACTCCTCAAGCTGATAGAATCATGACTGTCTTGCTTCAAATCCTCACCGCAGCCACACCTAAATCGATTGTGCCTGATGCGGTTTTCGCCACTGTCAGCAGTTTGGCCAATGCACTCGAAGAAGGTTTCGCCAATTACATGGAACACTTTGCTCCCTTCCTTTACAATGCTCTCGGTAACCAGGAAGAGCCAAGTTTGTGCTCCATGGCTATTGGTCTCGTCAGTGATATCACTCGCTCCATGGGCCCACGATGCCAACCATATTGTGACGCATTTATGAACTATTTATTAAGCAATTTAAGGGTATGTTTTGAAGAATCAAAAGTCTTGCCTCTCGTAGATTGGCGTCCATCCCCCAATCATCCCACTGCAATAGCAAATCTAACAAATAAACAGAGTACAGCACTCGCCAACCAATTCAAGCCTGCAATCCTTCAATGTTTTGGAGATATCGCAGGTGCCATTGGTGGTCACTTTGAGACATACTTGTCTGTTGTTGCCCAGGTTCTTCAACAGGCTGCTAATGTTCAAGCTAGCCCCGATGGAACATATGAGATGTTCGATTATGTCATCTCGTTGAGAGAAGGTATCATGGATGCTTGGGGTGGCATCATTGGTGCTATGAAGATGGATAACAAGAGTAAGTCATAGAATCCATACTATGAAACCACTTAATTAATACCATGTAGATGACCAGCTACGCCCTTACGTTGAATCAATTTTTGGCCTTCTCAATACCATTTGGGTCGATCAACACCGAAGTGATGCTCTCATGAGATCAGCTATGGGTGTCATTGGGTATGTGCTTAAAACTACTTTTCCTTTATTTAACTCACATGTACTAACGACCTTAGTGATCTTGCCGATGCTTTCCCTAATGGAGAATATGCCTCGTATTACCGTGCTGACTGGGTCATGTCAATGATCAAGGAGACCAAGTCAAACAGAGAGTTCCAAACCAGAACCATCGATACCGCACGTTGGGCTCGTGAGCAAGTTAAGCGCCAAACAGGTGGTAGCTCAGGGACCATTCAAACTTGATCGAATCTCTAAACGATCAAACGCGTCCTTTTACCACTTTTAATGTCCGTTCTTAGGACCGGCGCATGAATTTTTGATAGAGCTCAACGAATGTGTTCCTCACTCTTTTTTTTATGATTTTTTTTTTTTTTTTTTTTTTTGCAACGTGTGGTCATTACAGAGGGGTATTGTCCTCGGCCTACGTCGATCTGTTTGTTCCATCATATTTTTTACATCGCGTCGAATCCACAGAACCTGTCTGTCCATTCGTTCGTCCATCAATCATCGAATGGTTCCTCTGCCATAGTCATACTTACCTCTAACGATAACCGAAACTCATATCACTCGATATGATAAACGAGGAGCCTTTGATTTGCACACTCCATTTGTTCAGCACCAACATCACCACCACAGCACTATCAGCACATTACTCTGTACAAATAGATTCACTTATTCCTAACAGAATAACTTTGTCCCCTTATCTCGCGCCAATACCCTTTACACCATCACGTTTCTGTCGCGCCTTTTCTGCTGGTTTTGAGCGAAGAATGCATGCCGGGTTTTTGATTTATTTCTAAGGTTTCTGATGGATGACGATATTGATGATGGAATGGATGATAAGAAGAAGTATGATGTACATGGGATGGATCAATTGCTTTCGCCGAAAAATCTTGTATTGTGGGTAGGAGGATGGGCGGTTGGATTGTTGGGTAATGGAAATGGGTGGATGCCGGACGCAATTAACGAATGTGACGGCTGGATGGGGAGTGGAAGGATGGAGGAGTTTATAACATGTAAAGCTCTGGCAATGATCGACCGATTTGGGTCCTTTGTCTTAGCGGTGAACTTTTGACCATCATCATAAGAGCAAATGCAGAAGGCATGCCCGGGGTTGGGTACATGGGATGGTGGAGGAAGAGATGGGAATCAAGTGATTCGAACAATGGCTATATCGTCAGTAAGTTGAGTTGGTTTGATTGACAACTCGTAACTGAAAGAAATAGATAGATAGATACCTAGGTCAGAAAGGCGAAGTCGCCGACTTGACATGAATGGATTTGTCTGCCATAATTTCATAGTGAATTGAATTGTGATTGTGATTGTGATGTTGCATTGTGTTACGTGGTTTTGGTTCATATGAGTTGCGCATGGGAAGCCCTTCAGTGTGAGAGGTTATAGTAATCGACGTGTATTCGAAAGTGGAATTGTGAACGGAAGCACTTGTGCTAGTGTTGAAACGAGGAAGATGATCTGAGGCGGTGGCTTCGAGGACAAAGAAGCAGTAATTATATGAGACTTGGTATGTAAATGGATTCTCTACCACCCC